ATGCGGTCTCTAGTCATCTATCTGTCGCTATTTGTGATCACAATACTGCTGTCTGGCCACTTCTGGGACTGGTATCGGTATAGAGTCGATACTTTTAAAATGGAATGCGCATGCAATAAATCATCAGGTAAAACTGCAGAAGATATCGGAATCGTTGCCACTTACAAAGTTGACTCAACAGACAGCATTCCTTCCGTGTGTGAGTTTCCAAGGGTAGATCCCTTTGAGCCCAGTGTCGTAAAGATAGCGGGGGTAGATAAACAGACAGCCACCTGTGAGGGGATGTATTTGTCTGACCTGACCTACATCGACGGCCATACACTCAAGGTCAACACGAGTATGGTTGAGGACTATCTAAATGTCAGCGACTTCCAACACTGCAAGTACCGAAGCATCTTTCGCCATATCACTAATGATAATAGCTTTAAATATGGCGAATGGTCAAAACCTTTCAAGGATAAGGTAGATCTTCCAAAAGATGCCGAGTTTTTGAAAGTGGAGTGCATGAAAAATACATCAGAGCTTATATCCAAGACATTCTACTACCTCGTTCCAAGACATGAGGAACTGGAAGAGTTCGATCTACTGAATTTAAAAAAGCGGCAAGCAATGTCCCTTCCGAAAGAAACATTAAATGTTATTATGATAGGACTAGATACATTACCAAGACATCAACTGATCAGAGCCTGTAACAAAACATATTCATATTTGATGAATTCATTCAAATCATTCGATCTAACCCTGCATTCTCAGGTAGGACTCAATACATTCCCCAATTTTTTGCCACTGTTTGGTGGTCTGTCTTACGACGAGATCGCAAAATGGTGGTCAGACAAATATTATTTGGACAATATAGACTTGCTATGGGGCACCTTTGAAAAAGCTGGGTATCGGACTTTGTACACTGAAGACTTTCCAGGAATTGGGGCTTTTAATTATCAAAGGAAAGGTTTCAGGTTTCCTTTTGCAAGATACAACACACGTCCGTTAATTCTAGCAATATATGATGACAAGGATCTTATGAAACAGCGATGGTGGTATTGTTATGGAAATCAGCCCGAAATGAAATTTCTGTTGAATTATGTTAGTAAATTTCTGGATACATTTTCTGACAAACCGGTGTTTGCGGTAGCGATGCTCAGTAAACCAAGTCACGACCACGTTAATGAGGTCAAAATGATTGACGAATATGTGTACAATTTTTACCACTATTTAAACCAAAAAGGTCACATGAATAGATCGTTGGTGATTTCATTTTCAGACCATGGTGTCAGATGGGGGCCATTAAGAAATGCTAAGAACGGGAATTTCGATAGCAGAACGCCATATACAATCCTGACATTTCCGGACTGGTTTTTGAAGAAGTACCCGGATGTGGCTGCGAACTTGGAGGTCAATAGCAGACGTCTGACATCTCATTTCGACACTCATGCAACTCTTCTAGACCTGCTCTACTTCAAAAGCAACCTAACGCCACAAGTTGCCTCTCTTAGACACGGAATCAGTCTCTTCGAGAAGATCCCCTGGGACAGGACCTGCAAAGATGCCTCCATACCTCTAGAATATTGCATGTGTGGCTACACGGGACTTGAGGAACTCAACATTACTTCAAACATGTCTATGACATTGTCAAATCTTGTTGTCAAAGCAATAAATTCAAAAACAGACAAAAAAGCCTGCGCTGTTTTCGAACTCCATCACATTATTCGCGTTCTGAAAATTTCCATAACGGATACTAATTCAAAAAAGGAAAGGACAATATTTAAAGTAAAACTGGAAACAACCCCAGGAAACGTAATGTTTGAAGCCAATGTTTATGCAGATGACAGTACCCGTGATTTGAAAGTAGGAAATGATATCAATAGGTTAAACCTCTATAAAGGTCAGGCCGACTGCGTGAGCAATGCTTTGTTAAGACCATTCTGTTACTGTAAACGTTTACCCGCTAAATGATTGGGGATCTAATTGTCAATTATATATATATAAAAAAAAAAAAGACGTTCCGAGAGTCAAGAGATGAATTTGTATCTGCTATCTGATCAGTCAGCAAGAACAGCAAGTTAAAATGAGTCAGGTCAGACAATAGACTACACAGAAAGCCAAAGAAAACAAAAACAAACACAATACTGGTGTCACTAACTGAGGGATTTATTCAGGAAAGGATCTGAGTACTTAAATGGATACGATGTGCAGTGAGAATAATTTGTCGACTAACCATCCAGCCAACCGTCAAGCCAATCATCGATCCATCCCCAATCTATCACTAATGCATCCCCAATCCAACCAGCCAATCAACTAAATTATCAACTAATGTTAAAATTATGTTACTTTACATTTATCACCAGACCAGAAATGCCTCATTGTCCGTGTGTGTTCCCTTGAAGAGGTAGGATGATTTTTACCCACCACCTATTTCAGCTCTGAGTCCTCATTGAGCTATCTGGGTACGACACGCAACTCCCTGGATTGTGTAGACCAGAAAGGATGGGAGAGAGAAAGAAAGCGAATTCACTACATATATCGTGGCTTTAAATACATTACAGCTCAAATGCTGCACTCGTCACACACACACACACACACACACACACACATAAACATACACACACACACACACACATGTATAACATGGTGGGGGAGGGAGAACTGCGTTGTCTCGAGGTATGTCATCCGCTTCGAGGGCTGGAGGTCCTGGGTTCAGGTGGCGGCTGGGATTTTTTCACATGAACTGGTAATTTCCAGTGGTCTCTTGGTAGTAAGATCGGACACCCGTGTGTATTGTTGCGCAAAAAAATGCAGTGGCAGTTGGAGTCCAAGTCCAAGTCCATTTGGAAAAAAAAAAAAAAAAAAAAGCTCGACCACGTTCAGAAAAAAACCCGTACTGTGTAAGCCTCGTTTCTCCTCAAACCGGCTGCTAAATCACTGTACTTCTCGAGCTTGTACAAATGATTCTCCTCCATACGCGACTCAAACGGGACCGTCAGCTCAATCAGGATGAGCTGCCGTTTTTGCGCAGAATGGAGAACGATGTCCGGTCGCAGGCCGGTTTTACGGATCAACTCGGGATACCGTTCATGTCCTGGCAGATCAACCGCCAGTAACCAGTCCCTCGCAGAGTCTAGCACGGATGGAGCGAATGCGTTTTGGTTGACCTTACCTTTTGGAACCTGCCCAGCCTTGAGGAAACGAATGGGGGCGATACTAGAACTGGCTCTGGCATTAGCCCTCATTCTAGCCTGGTCGACAACGGCTGCTAACTCCTTTAGCACCTTGTTGTGGCGCCAGGTATATCGGCCTTGACCTTGAGCTTTCCTGCACGCGGACAGGACGTGCTCAAGAGTTTGCTTCGATTTGCACAACGGGCAAGTCGGATCGTTGGTCGCAGACCATTTAACCATGTTAACACCGGACGGTAATACATCGTACGCCGAACGAACGATAAAGCTCAGTCGCAGCGGGGTCATCCGCCAGATCTCACCCCATGTGAGTATTCTTGGCAATGCGCTCTCCAGGCTGACCAAATGGCCCTGCTGCGACTGCTGGGCTGCTTTCTGAACCCGAACCTCGTTTTCGTTGTCCCTCACCGTTTGTATCACCATGTCTCGGCGTTCTTTGGCTGAGGCCTTTGACCACCAGTTGACTTTCCCTCGACGGTCGGTTTGTGTGTAACCCATTACCTCCTTCAATTTTAGTGCGTTCTGAGCAGATTCTATCGCATCGAGGAACCTCCACTTCTGACCAGTCTTTAGAGCGGGCTGGACAGCGATGACATTTGGGTCTGAGGACTCGCGCAAAAGCATGGCGAGCCTAACTTTGCCGACTTTAAACTCTTCGGTTATCGACTTGAACGGAAGTATTAGCTTAGCCTGTTTACAATACAGAGCCACGTCGGTCAGACAAGGCGGTGCACCAATCCACTTTCTTAAGGCTGTGTTGATTTTCTTTTCCATGGCTTCCACTGCAGTCATCGTCACCTCGCAGACTAGCAGTGGCCATAGGAGCTTCGGAATCAACATGAATTGGAGACACCATACCTTGAATTTTCCGATCAGCCTGCATCGCTCGATCGCGAGCAGGCCTGCAGCCAGTGACTCGTGTATTCGCCGGACCTCCGCTCTGTCAGATAACTTCGAATCGTAAACGCGACCGAGACTCTTCACCGGTTCCTCCAGAATCGTAGGGATCTTGTTCCTTGCCACCGTAAAACTGATTGCCGACACCTTGCCCTTATGGATTGACAGACTCCTCGACTTCTGCGGTTTGAACTGCATACCGCTCCATTGGACCACCGCGTCCAATCTTTTCAGGATCGTGCGGGCAGACTCCTCGCTGCCCGTTATAATAGTCGTGTCATCCATAAATGCGCGCAGTGGCGGCAACCAGTGATCCCCTATTTGAAGGCCCTGTCCGTAGCCGGCCGCCCCGTCTAACATGATCTGCATAGCCATGACAAACAGTATAGGTGAGATCGTACACCCCATAGCTATCCCAATCTGCAACTCAGTCCACCTCGTGGTAAACGTCGAGGTAGAGAAGCGCAAAGCGAACTTAGAGAAATATTGCTCGACCATTTGACTGATCTGTGTCGGTACGTGAAACATGCGAAGGGCTCGCCACAGTAGCCTATGGGGGACTGCCCCGTAGGCGTTGGCTAAGTCCAACCATATAACGTGCAAATCGGTTCTCTCATGCTTGGCTCTCTGGATAGCCTCCCAAATCATGGTCGCGTGTTCAAGGCACCCAGGAACGCCTGGAATACCACCCTTCTGAACACTCGTATCTATGTACTTGTTAGTCATCAGATACTGTGTGAGCCGGCGAGCCATGACTGAGAAGAATATCTTACCCTCAACATTCAACAGCGAGATGGGCCTGAATTGGGAAAGACTCTTCGAGTCCTGCTCTTTGGGAATGTAGACCCCATTTGCCTTTGACCACTCTGGACATATGTGATTGCGGATCCACGCTTGTCTCAACAAGACGTGAAGCATTTTTAAGGATTTTCGGGCAACGCTTGTAAAGAACGTACGGAACACCGTTCGGACCTGGGGCAGACTTGCCGCTGGCCTTTTTCACAACGTCCTCAACCTCAGACCAAAGGGGAGGTACCATTTTAAATGGTACCTTCGGCACCGAAGGCTGTTTGAGTCCGCTAAGGATCTCTGGATTGTCATCGAGAGGCTCTCTCCTCTTTTTATCCGAGTACATCTTGCGTAGATGTAGCTCTAGTTCTTCCTGACTGACAACCAGAGTCCCAGACTTCGGTTGCTCGAATAGACCTCGGGCAAACTGATACGGGTCCCTAAAGAATTTCTCTCGCTCCCTTTTGGTTCTACGTCTGTTGTTACAGAAACGCTCGGCGCGACAGAGGGCACTGTGTTTGTTCTTTCGCTGCCCGTAGCGGCTTTGAACCGTTTTCTGAGGGCATTCTTGTCTGCCCGAAACTTCAGAATGTCCCTCTGCCTCCTGCTAGTATTCTGCTTGGCACCCGGCTGTGCCTTTACTACTGTCCCGAACTCGCGGGAGCAGTGTTCATATATTACATAAATTGAATAGAGTAGCCTAAAGGCGCTGCCCGGGCACACATTTGGAGTTACAAATCTACCAAAAAAGTTTTTAAGGATCCTCGACGGTGCATTAGAGTTCGTGCACTGAGTTGAGATTTTTCAGACGCTGCTTGAGTTAGAAGTATAACGGAGTGCTTATCGGTTTTTACCAGTGTACCATGATGTTGATCCTTCGACTAAACTAAACTAACCTAAACACACATACACGCACACGCACACACACGCACACACACACACACACACACACACATATATATATATATGTATATATAGCATTTTAACTTTAAAATGGACACTTTTCAAATCACATAGGACGTTTTTCAAATCAAACTGGACGACTTTCGAACCACCTAGGATATTTTTCAAATCTCACTGTGGGCAGCATATTGTTTGATCTTGTCCTTCTTCTCGAGCAAGCATGTTTTAGTCACAAATATAGATTGACTCCACACTCATCCATGAAAATGTACTTCTCCTTTTTATGTGAAGCATGTGCTGAGAAGTCGAAAGCATACGTTGGACGCTTTAAAATAGTGGTGATGCTGCTGACCCGGTCAAGTTCGTAATGGCACTTCTTTAGGGTGATTTTAATCTTTTTGAGGCCAGTGAAAATTGAAGATACGGCCACGTCAATCCCGTTCAACTACCTTCGCTGCTGTATCTGCACCAGAGTAACGTCTAGATATCGTTGAAAGATGTTTTCAGTGCGCTGCAGGACACTGGGTGTCAGCTTCCCATTGTTGTTTCTACCGCAGTTTCGCTGGAAAATAGCGACCTTTTCGTTTGTAGGCACTGATGATGATGTTTATTATTGAGCTTTCGTTGATACAGGCGACTTAAGCTGTCTCGTGGGTAGTTTTTTCATCAAAGAGACATTTTGTGTGGTGGGAGAAGTTTAGGGGCGGGGGGGGGGGGGGAAGGGGGAGGATTGGAGGTACACGAGCCCTGAAAAATGAGCGCCCCCAGCTGTGATAAATTGTCAAAATTCTTTCACCTAATATATCATCGGGAAATGCAAAAATTTGTTCAACCTACGCCTTCTCATTTCCGTTTTTGTAAATTATATTATTGTGACTAATTTAGTAGTCATTAAGACTGTTTATTCTATGTGGATATTGATTTGATTCTGTGGTAAAGTTTTCCCGTGGCTTGTAGGTTAATAAAGACGTTAAAGAATAATTCACACAAAGGAAGAAAGAAGTAACAGAAAGAAAAAGCAGAATCAACAAAAGCAGCAGTTTGAAAGTTTTCCTGTGTCTGGTAGGTTAATAAAGAGGTTAAAGAACAATTCACACACAGGAAGAAAAAAGTAACAGAAAGAAAAAGCAGAAGCAGAATCAACAGAAGCAGCAGTTTGAAAATGCCGAAGAAGAAAAAGAAGAAGAAGAA